TCAAGAGTACTCCAGCTCTCCGCCTCCCGCAAGACCTCCCGGGTAGCCTCCATGTTCCGCTTGACTATGTCGAGGTAGTGGAGCTTCTCTAGCGCGGCATCGGTCTCGGGCGCTAGAGAGGTCTTGGACTTGCCCTCGACGTTGTGGAGTATGCCTTGTAGAGACAGAGCACTCTCGCGCATGAAGTGGAGGTCATATGTGAGCCGGGAAGCGCCCCGAGAGATATCCTCTATGAGTCTGTCGACCTGCGCGGACGTGTCTTCGGACGCTATCTCCAAGGTGCCGACCATATGGGAGACGCGCCGGTCTAGCTCGGTCAACGCGGTCGACCGTTCGGCATCGCTAGGTTCTTCCGACACGCCGAGCACCTCGTTGATCCAGGAGACAACATCTTGGTGATTCTCGAGGGAGCTCAGCAGTTCAGACGAGGAAGCAAGAGAAGGAGGCTCTTCATATGCTTCTGCGGTACCGCCTGGTGGGGATTTTCTGCATGTTACAATTAGGATTTCAATAAGGAAACACCGGACCTATGACCTTCTGCTCACTGTCCCGCTGCGTTCGTCGGTGCTGCCATGTCACGCCGTACCAGCAGGTTCCTGTCGGTCGACAGTGTCACCACGCAAGTACACAGTCACAAGTCAGCTTCTATCCCAGCCTTGCGGAGTGTCAGAGCCCAGCAGTCAGATTTACAGATCAGAAAGCAGAACAAGAATCCGAGGCAGTGGCGGTCGAGTGGACAGACGCGTCCACGTCCGCTTCCACTCAGGCTAGGACGGTGTGACCCATCCGTCACACACCACGTCACACCTGCGTAACGTCTTTGCGTTTTGCTTTGGCGAGACCAGATTCAGCAGCGTATACCTCTCCCTTCCCCACACCACCGCTATGGCCACCGCAAAGTACGCATACATCCTTCGGAATACGGGGGATCTTTGACTGACTGTTGGTCGGGCCATAGCGCACCCAAAACGTCCTGGGCGGACGATGTCGATGAGCTTGGTCAGTCTGATCGGCCCCCTTACTAGGTATCACTGCAGCAGGGCTCACTTCACGATGTAGAGACGCCAAAGGTCGAAGACTACGTCGACGAGAATGGCATCCGTACAACAGTTGAGTACACCATCAACGATGAGGGTAAGAAAGTCAAGGCAAGTCCCGCATGCTCTACGGAAGACTGACCGCTGGGGCTCACGTCAGGTCTCGTCTCTTTCAGATTACCAAGAAGATCAAGCGGGTGCTCCAGAAGGCCGTGGTCGACCACAGCGTAGCAGAGCGGAAAACATGGGCCAAGTTCGGCCAGGAGAAAGGAAACAAACCTGGACCCGACCGTGCGACGACGACCGTAGGAGAGAACGTATACTTGAAGCTTAGCCCCGGCAACAAGGTGCGTCCCCTAATTTGATTTCTCATGGCCTACCTCATAACATCGTTGGTACCTGTTCAGTCGTCGGAGCCGGAGCAGACGGCAGAGCAAGCCGTCAAGGCCAACCTCGCAAAGGCAGGAGCTGGCAAGGTCGTCTGTCGGTTGTGCAAGGGCGATCACTTCACCGCAAAATGTCCATACAAGGACTCATTGTCTGGTCTCGACGGTGCCGGTACGTACATCCCGATCAGCGTGGTGACCGCCGTCCTTACGCCCTTGATCAGACACGCCCCCTGTTGGTCTCGATGACACCGGTACGCCCGCAGAACCCGCCGCTGCCGCGCCTGCTGCAACTACCGGTGGCAAATATGTGCCTCCTTCAATGCGTGGCGGAGGACGTGGTCCCGGAGAGGCTATGGGACGACCGGGCGGCTCACGAGACGACCTACCTACGCTTCGTGTCACGAACATCTCAGAAGACACACAGGAAAACGACCTGCGCGACCTCTTCGGCGTGTTCGGGCGCGTTGCGCGTGTATACGTCGGTCGCGACCGCGAGACGGGTGCGGGCAAGGGCTTCGCGTTCGTCAGCTTCGAGGACAAGGCAGCGGCGCAGAAGGCGATGGAGAAGATGCATGGTCGTGGATACGACAACTTGATCCTCAGCGTCCAGTGGTCACGTAAGTCACCCTCCCGTGTGCATCCTCATGATGATATCTGATTGTATTCTGCGCAGAACCAAGGGAGCAGCGGTAGACTATGTTGTCGGATGTTATTGCTATCTTCACGATGTTGTTTGTATTCTGAACATCTGCGATATGACACCTTTATTGCTTGTTCCTCCGCGTCTCTATCATACCACATTCCCACCCGCATGTCTACTCTTCACGGCGGAGACATCGCGCTTGGGATCAGCTCTCGATTTTCCATGCATGCTTTCATAACTTATCGTCTTGTCATGCCGGTATGCCTGCCAAGAGGCGAGAAAATTGTGGCATGTGGTCGGTGCACGGGTCGCTGGATAGCGGAGCGCCCGGTTGGACAGAGTTTCCGTTCCGCCTTCTAGCGCGTCTGGGGCTCCAGCAGAACTTCTTCATTGCAACCATGCATCCGTGCTCCCGGCCCTCTGATTTATTGTCGAGGCAGAGCTCTCGCCACGGCTTGAACTCTCCGTCAACGACCACGACGTTATAACGACTGCGCTGCTTGCCTGTGGGTTCGCTGTGCAACATCTGGAGCTCTCATACCGGAGACGGGCTTGGAGATAAGCCAAGCAAAGTGTCTGAAAGGCAACGTCTCGTAAGTCTCCAGCACTTCTGGCAGATAGCCACTGGAGTTGAGACCTGATATCGGGTGCAGAAAGCCGCACCACACATTTATGAGCTGGGCGACTGAACAGTAGCAAGCCCCGTACTCTCAGACATGACCGCGTCGCTCTTCCAAAACTCGTTCTACGTCGTGAACAACCTGAATGCTATCCTCTATGGTAGGTGCTTTCCTTTACAACACTAGCGCCAGCCAACAAGCGGCGGAAAGAGCGATAGCTAAGACGGACCATCGAGACAGGCGTCGAGCTCACTCTATATTTCATGACCCTCCGCCAAGTGGCGCAGACACGACGGCGCACGAAGCAAGACAAATTCCTGGTCGTTTTCAGCACAGCGCTCCTTGTTCTGAATACCATCTATTGGACGACACAATCCTACTTCGGGCAGCAGATGTGGGTCGTGCATGCGGACTATCCCGGAGGTATGGATGCATACCTGAACGACAACGTCGCGGTATGGTACCAGACGTGGGGTTCCGCCGCCGTCATGATCAGCCAGCTGATGGCCGACGTACTCCTGGTGAGTGAATGCTCCCTACGGGGCGCGATGAAGAATGTCCACTGATGCATTGCGCGGCTCAAGATGTTCCGATTGACCGTCATATGGGATAACAACCCGATTGTGATCGTTCCAGCATTGATCTGGTTTGGGTCGTTCGGTGAGTTGACCCCCTTGCCTCGCTCACACTATGACATTCTCACCAGTCGTTTGCTCGTGCCCGCAGCGTCCTGCCTTGGGCTGCTCTATGAGTCCGGCCGTCCAGACGGGAACTACTTCGCGGGCATCGCGACGAAATTCGGTACCGCCTGGAACTCGTTGACTTTCTCCTTCAACGTGATCGTCACGTCCCTCATTTGCGGTCGCATCATCTACATCGGCCGACGGCTGAGCGGCACGGATGAGGGAACGAAAGCCTACACCGGCGCGGTAGCCATCATCGTCGAGTCCGCGCTGCCATTCACGCTCGGGAATCTGGCGTATGTCATCACGTATGGCATGGGGAGCGACATCGCCATCGCGTTCTCGTGGTACTCGATGTTCACGGTATGTCTGAAGCCGATCACCGGGAACACCTCCGCTGACCCTGGCACTGACTTGGGGCATCTAGGCCATCTCCCCACAGCTCATCGCCCTCCGTGTACTCAGACGACGTGCATGGCAGAAGGACTCCGCAGCAAGCTTCCTGAGCACCATCAACTTCTCGGACAGGACCAATGTCACGACCAACGAGGGAAGCAGGACGGAGTACGAAACGGAGAGAAAGCTGGACGCGGACTCGTCCTTGAATCTTTCGACCTTGCGCGCGTCGCGAAATGCCGACTACACTGCATGACCGCGTATGAACGCCCACAGCGGGGTGCCCTGTACGAGTATGTATCGTTGTATAATCACCTTCACTCAGGAGTCATGGGCATTATTTCGCTGGACCTAGCAGTCATCCTCCGCCTCCAACACCTAGCTCGCCATTCGGCGACTCTATATATTGCAAACTAGGACTATCCTGACACAAACATTGCTTTGCAGGCCAGTGTCAACGGCCTAGCCTGCTGCACTCGACGCCTTGAGTGCAGTCAAACAGAAGATTTCTATCCCTTTTCCTCCCGTGCATATCAACGCTGAGCTACTGACTATATCGCCCAAAGACGCAGCATCTCCTAGCTTCTTGCGCATATCCGGGCGTAGAGCGAACGTCTGAGGACAAAGCGCCATATCGCCACCGTCGCTTTCAAGTTCAATGCAGTGAGAGTCCTGTTTGCTGCATATACCGCACTGTGGGCTATGGCGTATGGCATGCAGGTCATCTTCGACTGCCCAGCACCAATAGGCTGTGTAACTGCGCTGCTTCGTCTCCCAAACCTGACGTCTTCCAAGGAATCTTGGTGAGTAATGCTTAGTAACAGCGTAAACCCGGGAGTGTTGCACCCTGCTAACGACAACGATCAGCTATAGCGCGCAGACGGAATGCACCGTCAGGACAGGCATGCCGCCTCCTGAGTGCCTCGAGATGAGGTTCCAGGACCTGGAGGCAGCGAAGGGGGTTGACTGATATCGGAGTCCTCGTAGTATGCTGGATCATATGCTTGATGTGAACCCCGCACGACTCGAGGGACTCGGTTGTGATATGACTAGCGGCTCTACCACTGTAACGCTCACGGCTGAGTATGTCCCATCTCTTCCCCCGGTGGGGACCGCTCGGGATTCACACGTCCACTTGCACTGGTCACCGACATCAAGCCAGCCTGCCAGGTGCGCAAGAGTGTGGGCAGTGCGGAAAAAAAAGCAGATAGACTGTTCGTTGGACTGTTCCAAGGCGCTACCAGGGCTCGAACCTGGGTTTTGGGAACACTGTTGCATCAGAATCCCAAGTGATAACCACTACACTATAGCGCCATGCCGCTTGAGTGCATCCCACTGGATAGGGACGGTCCTTGTTTATTACAGTACTGGAGCTTCGCCCAGTGTTGCACCATGAACGCATGTAGTGTATCGTTCAGCGTGGCGGCATCGGTCATCATACAGTATAGTAGAGCAGCAAGGCCGAGGCAGCGACCGGAGCAGCGGTACCCTGGGCTCATCTGCGAAGCACAATATCGAGCTGACGTAGCCGCACTTACATTTATTCTCTGTGGCACAGCACCCCCCATGGCCACCGATATATCACATGGATGGAATGCATGGTCGATCGTAGAAGTGGTACCCAAAGTGCGCTGCATCCGAGATGGCCTCAGGACTAGTCAATGACTCCCCCCGCACCTAGCTGCCGCCGAGCGTGACGCTCCTGTACAGAGCAGAAAGACGGTGCGTTGCGTGAGGCTAGCTACTATACAAATGAACAGAGGCTCGAGTGTGTATGACTTCCGAGGCGGACGGACATACGAGGACGGCTGAACCCGTCAAGCTCCTGCCGCGCGCTGCGGAGAGGAGAGCATAGGGGTGTCGATGTGCCAAGCGCGGGAAGGGGGGATAACAGGAGAGAGGTGCGGCGGGGCAGGGGCGAACCTGGTAAGGCGACCAAGCACTGCCGCGATGGATAGGGCGAGCGAATACGGTGAGGATGGGCATGCGGGGCGGACAGGGCTACACCCTTGGTGTAAAGCGATGATGCTGTCCGCAGCAGCGTCACGGCGTTGTTGACAGCGGGCGATCGCAAGTCGGAGTCGGAGGGCATAACGGGGCGTGAGGGGTCGTGAGCAGAGGGAGGTAGAGGTCGAGGGCGGCGAGCTAGCACAAGCAGCGGCTGAGGGTGGGAAGTGGAAGACGGAGGTCCATTCCTGGAGTCCGAGCATTAAGGGCCTAGACGGGATGTGTGAGCACCGTCATTCATATGGCCCGGTGGGTATATCGTAAGCTAAAGGTTGCCGTAAGAAATGGAAATCACGGGGAGGTGGAACATGCAGGGTCGGCAGCGAAGCACTCATAGCGAGCACGGCGGGGGCGTCGGAGCACCTCGGGCGCAAAATTTGCGGAAGGTCCGAAGGTGGACGAGGCAGAACTTAACGGGGAGGACGGACATAGGCTGTCGCCGCGCACAGCTGCCGCGTCAATTCAGTCAGCTTTGGCAGCCTGGGTTCGGCGGTGGGGACGGGGCGCTAGGACTTACCATTCACTGCGCGCAGGCGCTCAGCAGATCACGCACGAACTGCAGCAGCCCGCACTTTCTTCCTCTGCGCCCTCCGGGGCGCCGCCGGGCTGCCCGCCGGTGTTTCGCCTCTTCTTCTTGGGCACGTCCTCTGACGGAGGCGCGTACGGTCGGATGGACAGGTGCACGATCGTCGCCGACGGCACCGGGGATGGCAGCTGTGTGGGGAATGACAGTTCTATAGCGCAGCCGTGTCAGCAGCGAAAATAGACAGCAAGATGGGAGCAGACGCACTGTCGAGCGAGTCCTCGTCTTGGAGGATCTTGCCGAGGTAGAGAATCCTGAGGTACGATGGCGCTGGCGGCCGCTCGTCCTGCCAATCTGCGCGAAGACGCGGTCAGGAATACGCCCCATCATGCGCCCTGGGGGTTCGGTGGAGCTTCTACGAGCATAGAAGCACCGAGCGCTCCCTCGCAGGTCAGGTCAGGTCAGGCGAGGCGGGCTGCTCACCGTTGGGCCAGGTGTTCCAGACCAGCTCCTTCACTCTCCCGACGGTCGTCTCCGGCTCGAAGGTCATCGTCCGGCGACGGCCCGAGACGAGCAGGAACGTCAGCGAGACTTGCGGGGTCTGAGGGATGGCCTCCTCCGCGAGCTGCGCTCCTGCGGGCTCCCGTTCGTCATCACGATCGTCTCCGTCCGCCCCATCAACCTCTCCTGTGAAGTCTCTCCTAGGGGTATTCGCCCCCGTCCCGGCGGTGAAGTCTACTCGGGTATAGGACGTGCGCGCAGAGGGGCAGAGGGGTGAGAACGCATCGATCCGCGATTGAAGGGCGTTCTCAATTGATGCGGGGCGCGGCAGCTGGGAGGTGGGTTGGGCTTGGGGCTCGGGGTTCGCGTGCAGCTGCGGTGCGGAGGAGGATGATGACGGTCGCAGGTCAGCCATGGTAGCGCGAGAAGTGGGGTGGGGCGAGAGAGAAACACTGGGAGGGGCGGGCGAGCGGGCGAGATGGGGAGGTATATATGGCGGAGTGTTTAGACGAGAACGTGGGAGGGCTTCGCGTAGTTTGTGTGCGTCCGATCAGCGAGAGGGGTGGATGGATGTTCCGCTAGCGCGACGGGGTGCGTTCCGCTGAGGCCAGCGTGTCGAGCGTCGAGGGTGGGCGCGGTCAGATGGGCGGGGAGAGCGAGGACGATGGAGCAATGTCTGACGCTGTACGAATCCGGGGAAGACGGTGTGCTATTTAGTGCTCAGGTGGATAGTGTTCGTGTGACCGTCTACCCCGCTTCGGCAATCTACGCAATGTTGTGTAAGCGTGAGCGATGACGGTGGTCCGTAGCGCGTCGTAAAGGCGGGAGCGGGAGGCTCGCAGCAGGAGAGAGCGACGAGGAGGAGGAGAGAGTCGGAGGAGACAGGGACGGGGGAGAGGGTACTTATAGCGGGTGAGGAGGTGGCCAAGATGCGCGTCTGCTACAAGAGTGAGATCTCACAATTCCCGATTTGGCACGGGCGTCTGTGTGCGCCCGCGTCTGTGGTCGCGTCGTGCTCTCTGCCGGCGGTCCAGGCGTGCTCGAGCCTCCGACGCTCCTCTCGCCTCCCGGTTCCTCCCTCTTCTCTCGCTTGTCCGCCCGACCTCCTGAGCATCATGACCAGCAGCGGTCGCAGGTGCTGCCGTCATTGGCTGCACGCTCGCGCCGTTCCCCGCGGCTTCGACATTCCTCCCAAGTTCTGTCCGGTTCGACTGGATTGGCTTCGGCGCGCTAAGCCTCTCCCGGACGTCTTCCCGTTCAGCAGAAATGACAGACTCTCGATATTCGAGCTCCTTGGGCCGACCGACACCCGAAGGCACTGGGCATAGCTCGCGGCGCCCATCACTGCCGATCTCAGTTGAACATCGCCATTGGCAAGCATTGGCATCGTTCACGCGCACACAGAACTTTCCAGCACCGGTTACACATAGTACGCCTGGGACTTTGATGCTCGTGAAGTCTTGAAGGAGACCGGCGAACAGCTGCGACCGTAATCTCCATGGTTCTACCGACTCATCACTGTGTCTCTTTGAACGGTAGGTTGGTGTGCACTGTGGTCATTGCCTGCATCGACATCACTGCATACCACGGATGGCAACCGTTATGAACTCCTGACATAGCCGGGCCACCTTTCACTAGGGCGCAGAGTGCAGGGTATACCTCGTCGGATATCGCTGCGTATGACTGCAAGATACCTGTGCGTAATCTCCAAGCAGCCATCAGCACTCTTCGTAGTACTTCTCCGAACCGCACGTCCCCTTCAGACGTACGTACTAAGCAGGGTAGCTGAAGCAGTCGAATTCGGCTCGGCATAGGATGGCTGTTTCCCAGGCATTGTGCTTTGGGTTCCTTAGAAGGTCGATGTACTCGAGTCTCGAGTTCACTCGAACGCTGCTCGCTGGGACTCTCACTTCCTATGCGTGCATCCACCAGCAAACCGCTGCCTTCTGCACTTTCTACCGGACTGCCGGGCCGATATAGTGGAGGCACCGTCGCGGATGACGCCGGTTCCACGGTCCCACCATCCCACCACGGTCGGAAAAACGCCCCCAAAGCAGTCAAGCCGTGCTCTTTCTCTGAGAATGGCCCCTGCCGCCGCACAACCGCCTGAGAAGACACGTTCGCAAGAGGGCGAAGAGGAGAGGATTGGTGAGGGACGCGGAGAAGCCGGTGAGGGTGGGCACTGGAGATCCGGAGTATCGGTTCGCACGATCGCGATAGCATCGACGGTGACGGTGACGCCAACGGAGGGCCGTTATAAACCCCAACGCTCTTTCGACGCTCTCGCCATCTCCCTGCTGTCTGACTTCTGCACTCTTTGTACCATACCAACAACATGAGCGGCAAGCTTGCGACAGGTGAGTCTTCGCGGTACCTGTTGGTGGCTTGTGGAGCGGGGAACAGGGGAGATCGTGGGATGAGGCAGCAGAACGGATCAGCATGCCCTGCAGGACTCAATACTCGCGTAGGCCGCGCTAGCAAGTGCAGCTAGCGGGACAAGCACAGGCGGACGCGCCGAGTCGTGCGTCAGAGACGACGCCTCGCTGATTGTCCGGCGGGAACGGAGTCCCAATCAGCCTCACTCCTTGCGTCATCGTTCAGGGCGGTCAAGAGCAGTAGCTGACACGTTCTGCAGAATACGCTGCCTGGAGGAAGCTCCAGGAGCTCTACGACACCCAGCATGACAAGCTCGTCCTCAAGGACCTCTTCGCGCAGGACCCCGAGCGGTTCTCCAAGTTTAGCCGGGAGTACGTCTCGGAGGACCCCTCCGTGCGGCTCCTGCTCGACTTCTCCAAGAACCTGATCACGGAGCCCATCCTCGCGACGCTCCTCGACCTCGTGCGCGAGGCGCAGGTCGAGACGTACCGCGACAAGATGTTCGCGGGCGAGCACATCAACACGTCCGAGGACCGCGCGGTGCTGCACGTCGCGCTGCGCAACTTCGACGAGTTCAAGATCAGCGAGGCGGGCGTCGACGAGGTCGGCAAGGTGCTCGCGCACATGAAGGAGTTCACGGAGGCGGTGCGCAGCGGCGCGTGGAAGGGCTACACGGGCAAGACGATCAACACGATCGTCAACATCGGCATCGGCGGGTCCGACCTCGGGCCCGTGATGGTCACGGAGGCGCTGAAGCCGTACGCGAAGCGCGACCTGACGGCGCACTTTGTGTCGAACATCGACGGCACGCACCTCGCGGAGACGCTGCGCGTGTGCGACCCGGAACGGACGCTGTTCATCATCGCGAGCAAGACGTTCACGACGCAGGAGACGATCACGAACGCGG